ACTCATAGGCGGGCTTTACAAACGATAAATTGCTCACCAATTGTAGGCTATAATGCAAATCATTGAAATATATTACAGTGTTGTTGAATATGGAGCCGACTAACAAAAATCCGAGCGAAACTGTTATTGAAGTTTTAATATTTTTATTAAAAATTATTGCCGATATTTGAGCCAAACTTTGCGCCGATAGTAAGGAAAGTAAAATAGAGAAGTAATATATTATGTAAATATTGAGTGATTTATATAAGTTGATTGTCCAACAAAATGGCACTAAAGATATGACAATTGGGATCATATCAACCAATGTTTTAACCCAAAAATAAACGCCAGAACTGTACCAACCTATCAATAATATTAAATCACTTTAATATACAGGTATGTATAATACTAAGGAAACTATCAAAATTTACATTCATCTCTCTCTCTCTCTCTCTCTCTCTCTCTCTCTCTCATGAGTTAATGTAATAAAAATATAATAAATACCATTTCGATGCTCTCTATTAAATATAGGAATATCGATGCAAAAGGTTGCGGACATAACCACTAATACAACACTCATTATAGAAGTTGCGACTAAAATGCAATACTTTAGGTTTTGTTGAATATAAGTCTCTTCTAATAGTTTTTCAATTGTTTTATTGCAAGCGATTCCTGACGTGAAGTCCACTTCAAGACAACCGTTGGGTTTAATAATATCACTGTTATAACTTATTAACAAAGTTATGCTCAATGTTTGATAAATAGTACACAAAATTAATAATGATTTCCAATTAGAAACATATGTATAAATCATTGTTCGCTTTAAAACATTGTAGAAATCCATAAAAATAAATCGCTTAAACAATAATTGGTTTGTTTCATAGGTTTGCATATTTTCGTAATGTATTCTCTCATACAATAGGTTTCTTTGATTTAACTGTTGTTCACATAATTGTCCAATAATTGCATCACTTTTCCCCTCCGAAGCGATTTCTAGTAATACTTCGATTGGAATCTGATTTTCATCGCATTTAATGTCATTATTAATAAGGGTTTGCTTTAAGTGTTTCGGTCGGTCGGCAAACACACAAACGCCTCCTTTGGCCAAAACNCAAACGCCTCCTTTGGCCAAAACATAGATGTTATCAAACATATGAAACAATTCATTGTTTGGCTGATGAATGCTTACTATAATTGTCATGTCATGAATATTTGATAGATATTTAAGACATTGAATTACCTAAAAATTAAGATTAATTATTATTATTAAATTTGAGCTTAAAATACAGAAATCATACATTAATTGCCGCACAACTATCCAAACCACTCGTCGGTTCGTCAATACATAGCATATCAGGTCTTTTTTGAGCCGTCAGTTCACAAGCAATAGCTATACGTTTCCGTTCGCCTCCACTACACATATCAACCCTATTGTCAATGATATCACTGATCAACAGCTCAGACATCAAGTTCTCGATAATCTCGTTATGATCTAAATGTTGACCATATCTTGAATTCTTTAGTTTTGAGGCATAAAGTAGTGATTGTTTTACTGTTAATCCACTCCAAAGATGTTCACTAATGTTTTGAGCGACAAAACAATTTTTGCCACTATTTGTAAATTTTGAATACATTTTCGATTCATCGCTCATATATTGATTATATTCTCCGTTCAAACACTTTAAAAGTGTTGTCTTTCCCACACCTGACGGACCCATCAATGCATTCAAACTTTTCATTTCAAACCCTCCGCTAATGTTATTCAAAATATTTATGGAATCAGTTTTGTTTGATTTTCCAGATTTGATATTTACTGATAGATTAATCCAACAAATTACTAGCAGTTTATGATCTTTATTTAATTCATTATTAATTATCTCTTTATTTACATTAATAAAAATTTCTAAATTTTTATCACAATTTTTAAGTTCCGATTGTTTCTTAAAATATTTTACAATATTGTAAATAAAATTTGTTGAAATAATTTTTATTCTAAAGATTATATACTGAATTAATAATATTATTATATAGTAAATAATTATATTTTCCATGTAATTAATGAGTAAACTTTCATCAGTTATATTATATTCTAATAATACTTCGGATAGACTTTCAGTTTTACATCGTTTGAATCCATATATTAATATCAATATTGAATTGAATGTGTATTTAATATATGAAATATCACTGAAAAACCTCATCAATTCATTCATATCAACTAAACTAATGAAATAATTATCAAAATTCATTAATGAAAACATCGTTGCTATCGATGCGGAAAGTGATAGCGTCTCGTGTTTTATAAATATTATGCCAAATATTGAGGATATTGTTTGATTGCAAAGCATTGACACAAATATCACATAAAATAAATATAAAAATCTTTGCAAATTTATTAAATCATAATAAACCCAATAAATGGTTAACAAATATATTATTGAATATATCAATGATAATAACGAGTCGACAAAAGTTTTTGATAAGAAAAATACACTCGAGTTGTACCACTCTGTTTGGGACAGTATTTTATAAATTAAATATGAATAACATATTTAAGCAATAAATTATATTATTTCTTACGGTTACGGTATTCGACCAAAAATACATTGAAATCAATGGCAAAACTAGTTGTCATAATTGATGTGTTAATTATAAACGATATGAATAGTGACATATGGATATAGTGTGCGCTCTTTTGCCAAATCCTTTTATTATCTTCTCTTTCAATACAAGTCATGTCTTCAATGGATTCAATACATCCGTCGACTAATGAGAGATTCTCTTTGAAAACTATTGCCATAATTGCATGAAATAT